AATAATTATCCTTCATGAAGAGGTTGGAAAATGCGCACGAAGGGCAGCATTTAAATGAAAGGCATCCTAATTGTAATGTAAGACATATGTATACTCTCGATTTGGTAGCAAAATTTTTGGAAACTGGTTCGGTGAAAAATAGGAAAAGAACCGACGAGTACTAAATGAAGAAGCCCTAATTGAGGTTTTGGGAACATTTGTTACCGTGTCAACTAGCTCCATACGAATAGTAGCAGAACAGATGGGAATATCACGCGAGACTGTAAGAAGAGCACTGAAAATGCATAAATTTCATTCCTGTAAAATGCAGTTACTTCAAGAGCTCTACGAAGATGATTTTGATAAAAGAATAGAATTTTGTAAAACCATGTCTGATCAAGTTAACGCCAACCCCAATCTTCTGCTGAATATCTGTTTCAGTGATGACATTTTATTTTATATTTTTTTCTAAATGACAATGTAATAAACACAAATGTTGGTACTGGAGCGATGAACACCAGGTATGTTATTCAAGAAGGGCATACGCAATTATTGGTTCTTTATTTAATGAAGGAAACTTGCCAGGCGATCTGTCCCTTAATATGCTTGCAGAGATTATTGATCCTCTTATAAACTCAGGAGCTAGAAACAAACTGATGCAGAAGGTAATTTAGTTTTACAGGAGATGTGTTACATTTCCAGCAGGACGCTGCTACACCTAATTTTTTCTTCTCGTCTGACAGAGATTTCCAGGCCCTTTGATTAACAGAAGGGGAGCAATTGAATGGCCCCCAAGATCACCTGATTTAGCTCCTTTAGATTTTTTTCTTTGGGGACACCTTAAATTCGTTGTTTATTAAACACAACCTGCTGATATTGATGATCTTAAAAGGAGAATTACACAAGCATGCCGGTCAATTTCCGGTAAAAGTTTTCCGAAATGTTAGAGAGGAGTTGGGAAACAGACTTTTTACTGTTTACACTACAATGGACAACATTTTGAAAAGTTTTTAAAATAGTCTACAAGTAGATCTTATGTGTTCTATTTTTAAAATTTCTTGTGCAAATTAAAAGTTATTTATTTTGTAAAAGTCACCTTACCAAAAAAATAAAAAGTTAAACATGTAGACTTGATATTCCTCCTGTTATTTAACTCGATAGAATAATTTTTGTTTAATAAATTTTAGGGTACCATTGGGAAGATAATTAAACGCCCTTTAAAATGATGTGCCTCTTGACCCCTTTTCCCATTTAAGATTTAAGGGCAACAACTACCCCTCCTAGGAGGTTGAGCCACGATGAGTGTTAAAAGTATTTATTGTAGGTGTCCTCCTTGAAAATAAAATTGACGGGTTTTTGCAATTTTTCACATTATTTATTGGAAGAAAGATATTTAATTTGGGAAGTTTTCGGTGTCACCCTGTATGTATATCACTTGTTACATAAACACTCATAAAGAAAAAAATTAATACAAAAATTTAAAGACTACTCGTTAGATGAATTTATAAATAATTTTTAATATTTCAATCAATTTTTACGTACCTATATGTGAGCATTGTATTTCGTTTATCTATGATATGATGAATGTTTTTTTGAATGCCTATGTTGTATTCAGCTAACCTTATGAAATTTAGTTATTTATTAATATAAAACTAATTTTGTAACCTGTCTCATCTCATCGGAAGATAATCTAAAGAGAATAATATAAATTTATGTATAGTTGCCCCTTAACGCCAACGCAAATAATTAGACGTCCCTCGCCGCACTAGTTATACTTAAATTATCTCAACTAATACACAATCTTGTTTAATTATGTATTCCTCTTATTAAAAAAGTATTCGTAATTTACATTTAATTATATGTACATTTTTATTAAATTAATAAAAAAACTGAGTACAATCCTGGAAACACTCAACTGCGCAGACTCTCCGCCTCCCCGGCAGGTTCTCCTTGTGTAAACGTTTTCTGAAATGACAGTTCCTATCTCCCCTCCTCTCATATCTATGGGTGGATATCTATTGCTGCGTTTGAGAATCCACATCGGATGCATTTTTTACATCTCAGATGCATCCAATGTGGATTCTCAAACGCAGCAAATATATAAAAGGTCTGTGGGTGGATATTTTCTTCACCAGCTATTTAGCAGGACTGAATTACACTCGACATGTATATAAGGAATTAGGAAGAAGTAAACTAGGGTAAATAGGTTGGTATAACTGGTGTAATTTACACTGGTGGACACATGGAGGAAGGATGGACACTGCATCAACAGCGAACGAAAGAACACATGTCGAGTGTAATTCAGTCCAGGATAGCTATTCACTAAGGGCCCTATTCAGTAATTTATCGTTTATGGACGACATCGTTAAGCTAACGACAGTTCAACCAATGACTTTTATAACGATAATTTTTGAAACTCTATTCAATAACAAAGTCGTTACGTTGTTTCTAGTTACCAAATCTGAACGATGATTTCTAGTAAGTTGGTATTATAATTTAGTGTTTTGTGGTAAAAGAACGTATGTTGATGATTATACCGGGTGTTTAAATTAATTTTACAGTTAAATATCGCCAAAAATATGCATTTTATAAAAAAAAGTATCAGACAAAAGTTTTATAGTTTTTTAGGGGAAACATTTTGGCTAAATTAATTTTTTTATAGCTGACCATAATATGACCATATCGAGGTGGATTTTTTTTTTTTTTCAAATTGGAACCCTATTTTTTACATAGGTATCCTTAGAGTTCATAAAAAATAAGAAACTTCTAAAGGAAACATTTTTTTATTGGATTTCTACTTATTGAGTAACACCTACTTGAAAATTTTGCTGCTAGAAAAAAAGTTGGCCGTATTATGGTTAACTATAAAAAACCGATTTTAGCCAAAATGTTTTCCTCAAAAAACTATAAAACTTTGTTTTTTTTTTTATAAAAGGCGGTATTTAACTGTAACAGTTTAATTTGAACACCCGGTATATTTGACATTTTTTTGGAACGTAAAATAAAAATTCTAACAGTAGATATATTCATTTGTTTTTCAGAATATATTAATTATTGTTCTTAACCTACAACACGATCAGGGGGTCGATTCTCGATTCGTAGGAATTCTGTTTCTCGCGGGCCATTTTTGCTGGTCGTATATTTGCTGCGTTTGAGAATCCACATCGGATGCATCTGAGATGTAAAAAATCTTTGATCACGTGATTCAGTATACGTAAATGTAATGGGACAGATGTGAATAAAAAAACGCTCGAGATGTAAAAAATGCATCCGATGTGGATTCTCAAACGCAGCACATGTATGCAGGGTTTATTTAAATGAGTATAGATGTATAAACAAAAACTGAGAACTATTCCAAAACAATACAAAAAACAACTCAAGAACAGTACAAGTTGTATATATTATATTGGATTTGAAAGACAAACCAAATTTGTGTAGGTTACGGAGAAGTATTATAGGTACTTCCATAATATAGGTTTTGTTACTGTTTCGCAGTGCTACTTTAGAAACAGCACTGTTAATAAGAAAGTAAATTGCTGAAGGGCAATCCTAACTTTGAATCAATTTATTTTTAAAATAAATAAATTGGAAAAAAATTCCTTACAAATTGTACTTGCTGTATTAAGTAGATGGCAATTTAGTTGTAAAATTTATAAAAAAGTGCTTTTATTATTTAGAACACATCCTGATTCACAATGAAAAATGAGAGGGAATGCAAAAATCACTATAACGACAGCTCTGTGGCTATCGTTGATGAACGACAATTTTACAACCATATTTGTCTATTTTCAACGACAATCGTTGTCTACTGAATAAGAAAAGTCGTCTGTGAACGATTATCGTCTATTAACGACGTCGTTCAGAGTTACTGAATAGGCCCCTAAAATTTGTGTCGAACGATAATTCTAATTTAATGAAACGTAGTATTTGCAATTAAAAGTGAATCTGTTTATTTGCCACTTGGAGTTTTTCATCAACAATTTACAATAATTTTAATATTTAAGTATTTTTTTTATTATTATCACATTAATGCACAACCAGGTTGTTCTTCTAGCAATCGTAAATAGCGATTGGTTTTAGGCGTTTTAGGTTAATTTTAAGAGGGGGACCTATTTTCAAACTGTGTGAGTACTCATTTCTCTCAAGATTCTCATCAGAAATGTCATATGTCAATGTAGAAACCCTGTTTTTAAAGGCATCAAGGATTAAAATTCTTAGGAGACTATTAATTATCTTTAAATAAACCGTGAGAAACAATCAGTGAGTTCACACTGGCCCTTAGGACCCTAAAAATTACTGTTTTACGTTGACGTATGACATTTCTCTCGAGAGAAATGAATTCTCTCGACTTTGAAAATAGCCCCCCCCCGGGGACCTATTTTCAAACCGTGTGAGTACTCATTTCTCTCAAGATTCTCATCAGAAATGTCATACGTCAATGTGGAAACGCTGTTTTTAAAGGCCTCGAGGATTAAAATTCTTAGGAGGATATTAATTATCTCTAAATAAACCGTGAGAAACAATCAGTGAGTTTACACTGGCCCTTAGGACCCTAAAAATACTGTTTTACGTTGACGTATGACATTTCTCTCGAGAGAAATGAATTCTCTCGACTTTGAAAATAGCACCCCAGTGGGGCGAACGAAAGAACCTAAGAGGTTCTTTCGTTTGCTGTTGGTGCAGTGCCACCAGTGTAAATTACACCAGTTACACCACCTTATTTACCCTAATTTACTTCCCTCCTTATTTCTTATACAAATTTCGAGTGTAATTCACTCCTGCTAAATAGCTGGTGTAGAAAATATCCACCATTGGACAATACATCGCTGACAGGAAGGTATAGTGGGTTTTACACCGGGCCAAACGAAAGGTTTAGTGTCCGTTAGTGTAGTTCATTCCTACATCAGTGGGACGAACGAACCTGAGCAATAGTGGCCTTCGATTGTTTGAGTTGTGCCGTTCAGGTTCAGACTTCAGCCAACCCTCTTTTTGACAGATGCCATGTGCAGCTGCTAACCTACAAACCGTTAAAAACGGTCATAACAAGAGCAAAATATTGCAAAATTCTGCAAATTGCAGACAATATTAAAAATTTCATTATACATGTTAATTATTTACAATTAAACCAAAATGTCGATGTTAGCTGAAAAAAGACGGAAGCAAAAATGGTCTCTTAATCCTCGTGGCAAAGAATGGTCTCAAGGTAACTTAAATATAAATAATATACTTTTTAATAAAATATAATAGTAATACGTTTAACAATATTATACAAACATTGAGATATCGGTTTTTGCATAAAAATATATTTTAGATGCAAATAAATTTGGTCAAAAACTGTTGGAAAAGATGGGATGGCAACATGGAAAAGGTTTAGGAGCGAAAGAAAACGGTGTAACAGAACACGTAAAAGTCTCATATAAAAACGATAGTAAAGGTAATCATTTAACATTAATTTCTAATATGTTTATGCATTTTATTATTGATCATTGTTTAAGGTATTGGTTATAAAGAAACTAATGATCAGTGGACAGAACACGAAACTAATTTTAGTGCACTCTTACAATCCCTAACAGGAGACGGGGAAAATGGCATAGAAGAGATCAAAGTAAGTTCTTTAGAAAAAAAATCCCAAATTTCAAGAGCTAGAGTTCATTACCATAAATTTACAAGAGGTAAAGATCTCAGTAGAGCTTCTGAAAAGGATTTAGCAAATATTTTTGGAAAAAAATCTCTTAAAGATACTAAAAAGCCAAAAATACCAGTAAAAAAGGAAGATCCTGATTCTAAAGAATGTGAAAACAATTCAGGATTCCTAATAAACGCTGGTTCCATGAGAGATTATTTCAGAAAGAAGTTACCAAATTTTGGTAAAGTAAATGGTTGTGTTATTGGCAATAATGGAGTATTAAAAAAAGAAGAATCAGAGTCTGAAAGTGAATTAAGACCTTCCTTTGGATTTGGATTCAATGCTACTGAAGAACGGACATCCACTCTGTTGAATAAAGATAATTCTGAATCGGAATCTGAAATAATATCACATTCTGGTTTTGGTTTTATTAATGAAAGTGATGATAATACACCCTCAAAAAAACCTAATTCCAAATCAAAAGTTGTGCCTATTACAGACAAAAATAATATAGATGGGAAAAGAAAAGCTGAAGAAAAAGATGATACAATTTTGTCACCAAAGAAAAAATCTAAAAAAGAAAAAGGCAAAACTGAAGAAAATTTAGGTGTATCAAATCCAGCATTTAACCCAATGTCAACTCCCATTAAAGTTCAAAAACACCTTTTGGATCCAATTGAAGAAAGTTTGACTGAAGAAATTGAGGAGATCTTTAATGTTTCCAAAAATAAAAATGAATTTTTAAATAATACAGATAAAAGTAATGAAGAATCTATAACAGAGAGTTCAAAAAAGAAGAAAATCAGAAAGAGCGAGTTTAGTAATCCTAATTTTAATGAAGAAACTGAAAACTCGATAGAAGAAATGAGCACAATGTCCAATCCTTATGAAATTAGTAATAAAAAATTGAAGAAAAATAAGAAAATTGAGCTCGACGGAATTGAAGGAAAGGCAAGTAAGAAAGAAAAAAAGAAAAACAAGATAATGGAAAGTGATACCAACAGTTTTGAGGAGAAAAATTTATCTCAAATTGAGGAAAGCTCATTCGAAATTTCTTCAATTAAATCAAAGAAAAAGTCACATGAAATCGATAATCCTAATTTTGATGTTTCGGAAGATAATTCTATAAATATTTCACAAATAATAGTTGAAAATCCTTATGAAGTAAAACCAAAAAAGAATAAGAAACAAAAGAAAATTGAATTGGATAATCCAAACTTTGATGTAACCGAAGATAGTGTAATAGATATATCTCAGCTGGAAGAAAATCCTTATGAAGTGAAACCAAAAAAGAAAAAACAAAAGAAAACGGAAGTGGTTAACCCAAATTTTGATGTAACTGAAGATAGTGTAACAGATACATCTCAGCTGGAAGAAAATCCTTATGAAGTTAAACCTAATAAAAAGAAGAAAAAGAAAAATAATAATTTAGCAATAGATAATCCATCTTTTTCAGAACAAGAGGAAAAACCAATAGATAGTATAAATCCTTATGAAGTAAAATCAAAGAAGTTAAAAAAGAAGGAAGTTAGTGATCCAGGTATAGCTAACCCTGCTTTAAATTTAAACGACTCCAAAAATGATGATGCAGTTTTAGAAAATTGTGACTTAATTTTAAATGTTGTTTCTACTCCTATTGTATCAGAAGTACCTACCAATAGTACCAACACAACAAAATCTCTGGGAACTATTACTAAAATAGAAAATTTAAGAAACAGAAAAAGCGTCAGATTTAGTGATATTACTCAAGAATTGATAATCCCTAATAACGAAGAACTAAAAGAAATGTACAAAAAAGACAAGAGCAAAAAGAAGAAAAAAGGATTGGATAACCTGAATTTTGATAAACAACAGAACAATCTGGATGAAAATGTAAATACCATTTCTAAAACTCTAGATAACTACCAAGCAGAGATAGAAAATGATATGAATGAGGAAAAAGTAAAGACCGTTACTGTTGAAGACCTGATGGTAGGAGAAGTGGGGAATCCCAATGGTGAGAATGAAAAATTACCAGATGGTACAAAACTGAAATTTAAGCAAGCTAATTTAGATGGAAAGACAGCTTTTTATATGTTGGACAAGGTTGGACCAAAGAAATCTTATAAACATTTAATAAAAGGAGATATTTTAGTAAAGTTTAAGAATACTAATTTACATCAAATTAGAGGGTATGCAGTGAATAATAAGACATGAAAACTTTTTATTGTAAATATTAATAATTTGTTTAATGAAATTAATTTTAAATCGAATTGTTTTATTGTCCTTTTTTTTAATTTGAAGATTGTCCATGGGGGATTAAATGACAATGCAGTACACTAGAGCAAAACGACTTACTGTCATATTCGAGCTGTTCCATTAATAATAATATTTATATTCGCTAAGATTTAAAAAAAAACAGTTTCATTAGAGTTTGTATACATATAAAAATATTACAATTAAAATCTATTTTAAAATAGAGTACAGTCCAGAGAAAAAGTTACTATTAGAATAGAGTGCTTGGAATTTCACAATTACAAATATTTTATACATGTACTATAAAAAAAATATTAAAAATAATATGAATATAAGAGTTGATTGTGAAACTTAGTCAAGTTGTAGAAACATTTATCTGCAAGCAGAGCTGGGCAGCATTTATATTTGTAAATACTTTTTAGTATTTAAATACTAGGTATTTAAATACTTTTGGATGAGCGGTATTAAGTATTTAAATACTTTTTCATAATATTCTAAATAATTTTTAAGAATTTAAACAATTTTCTGATATTTAAATACATTTCAAGTATTTAAATACTTTTCCGGTATTTAAATACATTTCAATTATTTAAATACATTTCAATTATTTAAATACTTTTCCGATATTTAAATACCTTTTTACGTCAAAAATAAAAACATATGTTACAACCTGTTATTAAACCAAACGTGCGAAATAGTCTGGATGAAGTGCTGAAGTATCGGTTCGTATTTAAGCGTTAGAGAAGATTCATCATTGTGCTAGTTGTAAAGTTGTGATTTGTGTTACAAGTAAAAGAAATAAACCAAGGTATTTATTATGATTTGTGATTTTACATAGTAATTAAAAAATGTTAGAGGTACAGATGATCAGTCAAAAGTAAGTCTGTACAAGAAAGGACATTATAATTCCAAATAAGTCTGCATGGTATAAAGCACTATACGTATACAATGAACACGAGTTTACATCAGGGTTGCCAGATCTTTGTAATGAAAAAGCGGGACACTGTCGTTTCAGCAAAAGGGCCACAACTTTTTTAGAGCCACGCTTAATTAAAAATGAGGACAAAAAACAAAACGCTTTACAATAAAACAACAGAAGATATCATTATTTATGCCCTATATATACAGGGTGTTACTTATTAATGATAGGCCGTAATTCCAAGGGCGCATGCTTGAACCAAGTAGAAAAGTTTAACGATCGAAATTACTTATTGTTAATTTTAATAAAAGTAGTTTTTATTTTTTCCTCAAAAACGAAGTAAGATAAAACAAAGTTGTATTTTTGGCTGCTTAATCGAAAAATAAATATATAAAAGTTGAAAAGTCAGTGGCGTACATTTTTTTGTAAATATTCATAAGACTGCGACGCCTCTGAAACTCATAATTATCTTCTAGTCAGTGTAAACTTAGCGTCTTACCACAATGAAGAACACTGCCAAATTTCAACAAATTAGAAAAATGGATCTTTGATATATTGATAAAAAACATTCCTTTTAAACTTTGACACCTGTATCTTAAAAACCAGACGTTTAAGAAACATTTTTATATAAACGTTTATACTTGAAATTGGTTCAGCAATGCGCCCTTGGAATCAACCTATCATTAAGTAACACCCTGGAAAAGCGGGACAATTTACGTGAAAAGCGGGACTTGGGAATTATTAGAAAAAAGGGTGGGCCAAGTTAGCAAAAAGCGGGACTGTCCCTCCTATGGCGGGACATCTGGAAAACCTGGTTTACATAAGAATTTTGTTGTAAAAAATGACAAATTGCCCTTCTGTAGGATGACTTAAGGACGAAAAATGGCAAATACAAGAAAAAATATTAAAAGCAGTACTTTTATCCATTAGCAAACAATTTTCATGCACTGGGCGTGGCAATCTATTTAAAAATATATCTAAATCCATACGTCATTTTTCGCAAATTATAATACAATGTTGCCAGATGAAAGACTTTAAGCTGAATAAAATAGCGAAAGCCGTTATTACTGGTTTTGATTGGTCAATATTGGCTAGATTTGGTTGTTTTTGGTTAGTTTTTGGGCCGGTTTACTCCCATGTTTTCTCAAACATTTGGTAAAATCGTAAGTTTGAGGTTTGAGACATTTAAAAAGCAAAATATTCACTCTTTTTTTACCTTAAAAACTGCTGCGTAACACGCATTTTTTCTTGCAGTGTACTTATACAGTGTGGAAACCACTTATGGAATAAAATTCTTTATGTCATTATTTTAGAAAATTATAAAAAATGCCGAGACACGTCAACTTTTGAATTGAGTTGTGCGTTATGTAAACATAAATTTAAATGTGAATCACGCAAGTATGCCATAGTCGATGTTGTTTTTTTTTTAATGAAACACCCTGTATATTTGCATACATACATTATTCAGTTTGTTGGAATCGGTTCATTAAGAGGATTTCAAAAATATGCAAATATACACGGTGTTTCATTAAAAAAAAACAACACCGACTATGGCATACTTGCGTGAATCACCCTGTACATTTAAATTTATGTTTACATAACGCACAACTCAATTCAAAAGTTGACGTGTCTCGGCATTTTTTACAATTTTCTAAAATAATGACAAAGAATTTTATTCCATAAGTGGTTTCCACACTGTATATGTTCTTCAGCAAGGGGGAAAAAAATCTTTATTATTCATTTTACGACCAAAAGTCATTCTTTATAAAAAGTTCTGCTTGTTGAGAAAATTGAGTTGCCTTATAAAAATTTTAGATTAAATGTACAGGGTGTTAATAAATTAGGAAAATATGAAAATGCTTCAAGAGGGAAGTACCATTATTTATTATTTTTGACAAAAATTTTATAAAACAAAGTTGTTTATAAACTAGCATAGAGACTAAATACAAATTTTTAAATAAAAATTCCAATATTTTAAAATAGAATATTAATAATTATTACTTTCATGTAATAATTTGCATTTTACAAAAAAAAATCAAGATAGCCGATTTTGTATTCGCTCCGTGCGCGACAGCAGCGCCAATTGTTTTGGTATTAAAGGAGTATTTCTGCCTATACTGACAAATACAATTTTTAATAGAATTCGTAAATAAAAAGTATATATGTTAGTTTTAATAAAAGTATATGGATTTATAAAACAATTAAAACATTAATTTATTATTATTATATATTTTTCACGCTTAAATTGAAGACAATTATGTATAATCATTAAAAATCAATAATAAAATATAGGCAGGCAACAGTATTTACTGGAAAATGTATGAGAAGTTGCCTAAGTCTAATAAGTTGTCATTGAAGAAACCATTTATAATAGCGTGAAGTTAAAATGTATAAAAAGGATCGCTACTTATATTTTCATTTTTGTTCTAATGAAAACATAGAATGAATGATTAAAACTGGTTTCCGATCAGTAAGTCACAAAATTGCATACCAGCCAAATATTATAATCAACGGCAGAAATCTTGAAATCTAGTCCTTGCTGAATGAACATTTAAGAATAAAGGGATATTAAAGAACATCGTAAAATGATAATTTATTGTTTATTTAAAAACTTTCTAGTTTCTGATGTCTACTATTTCCAGCATTACTGTTATTATCACAAAAATAAAGGTAATTTTTCTTCTTATTGTACACCTATCCATTTATTTCTTTGATTTAATTTCCACTTTGTTAGTGAAATTTGTTATATAAGTTTCACTGTTTTTTTTTGCTAGTATTTGTACAATTTTCAACACAGCAACTCCGGTTGCTTATTGTGTTGTTTTTACCTACTTTTTTGAAAAAAAGTAAAATGTATACGTGTATTTGATATGCCAAAATTACAAAATATCCCCCTAAAATGCACGAATTATCCGCAGCTAGCGCTAGTATCGCTTTTGCTTCCCTTTCCATGACTTCGCACGGAGCGAATACATTCATGTTATGTCAGCATTTTATTTACATCTGTCAGTATTTTTGAAAATGTTAACCAAAGAAGAGTGTATTTATATTTAATACAATGTTACGGTATTGGAAATGTGTCTTATCAATACGCTATAGATGTTTTTCATGGAAAATTTCCTAATACGCCCGTGTCAAAAAAAGCATTGCGAAAATTATTTAAAAAATTTAATGAAACTGGATCGGTGATGAATGTAAAGAAATCAAAGAAAAAATTCGACGAAAATGACGCAGCTACATTATTAGCAATAGGGTCAGTTTTAGATAACCCGAAATTATCTTTAAGGAAGCGTCAATTACACGTAATTTTTAAGGAAAACAAAATTATACCGTTTAAGCCAAAGATTCGGCATACACTTGAACCTGGAGATGAAGAGAGACGTTTAGAGTTTTGTTTATGGATAGGTGAAAAGTTCCTTGAAAACCGAAGATTTCATAGATTTATTTTTTTTACCGATGAATCTACATTTTGCACAAACGGGCACGTATCTTCACAAAATAGTCGTTATTGGGCTTACGAGAATCCTAATTATGTGATAAACAAACGAAGTCAACGTTACAAAAAAGTTAATGTATGGTGTGGAATTTTTTTGGATCGGATCATTGGTCCATATTTTATAGAGGAAAATTTAAACCAACACGTGTATTTGAACATTTTGGAAAATTTTGTCTTACCATTTCTTAATACTTTAGATCCAGAAGTTCGTAGTAATATGTTGAGGCAACAAGATGGCTGTCCTGCTCATTGCACAGCCTTGGTCAGACAATGGTTAAATGATCATTTTGGCGCAAGGTGGATAGGGAGGTTCGGCCCAATTAATTATCCAGCTAGGTCGCCTGATCTTTCATTACTAGATTTCTTTTTGTGGGGTGCATTAAAACAAAAGGTTTACTCAAATAATCTTCCACATGATAGAGAAATATTAAAAGAGCGCATAGAAGAAGCAATCCATGAACTGAATGTGCCGCAAATCATTCGTAAAGTGTACGGTAAATTTATTAAGTTAGCGGAAAAATGTGTCGAGGTGGGAGGTAGTTATGTAGAATAATTTTAAAATAATGAAATTTTTATTTAAAAATTTGTATTTAGTCT